GAATAATTTTATATGTATATCAAAAAGCGTAATTCGTACAATGTAAACTTTAAGCAGTCGACGCCTTAAGCTTTATAGATACAAATGATTTTATTAAGCTTCATTATCGTTCAAAACAAAGCCATTTTCCGCAGGAAAACTGGAATTCAATATAAAAATTAGTTCTCGGTACGCTTTGTTTAATCGACAATTTATATTACCCGATTGTTTTTTTACAGGGTGACGCATTAACAATGGGAAATGTATAAACTGAAGGTAATACACGGAAAGTTGATATTTTCGGAAATGTTGTATGTTAAGTCATATACCTATTTAATTCTTTTTCTGCCATTATTCTGCAAAAATTTGGGATGGAAGCTTGAAATTTTGTGGCGCCTTTTTGAGACTAATAAACTAATAAGTTGCTTATGGGGAGAGCTACTTGCCATCGATTTTGTCGACATTTACATTAATAACTTACTTAAAGTACTAATAAATTTTAACCTTAACTTAAAAACCGTTCATTTTTACATGAAATAAGTATTATCGTTAGGTACATTATAAGACTGGAGGATTTATTAGCCTAGACATTAATTTTTAATTTGCAAAAATCGAAAAAGCGACTTTCGCGACAAAAAAAATTGAGATTTAAAAATATTCAGTGCAAAAAACGGAAACATATTTAAATACTGTTTTAATAGTTTGATTTAATGGCGCTTATTTTACATATGCATATTAGGTACGTATGTATAGTGCATGTTACAATTAGCCAGGTGCTTCCATCGGCTTTAAACCGATTACCAGGTAATAAACCTTATAATGTATAGTTTCAGGATGATGATGATCACACACTTCTCGATATCATCTGAACTCTGTAAGAGATTTGTTGCGTGCTACGGTTCATAACACATAGCATAGTCCCGACTTAATTTCCTTTAATACTTTCTCTGTGGTTATATAATAAATTACAAAATAATGTCGCATAATATTTCTAGAAAATGAGAAAGCAGCAACTTGTATGTAGGTAATATATGCGAAAACATGTTTGAAAATGTTGGGAAGTCAACAGCAATGCAATTGAATTTATTTTGAAAAAATCAAAATTCTAAATAGCCACAACGTAGGCAAATGAGAGAAATATGTAGTAAATAAATGCTAATACGGTGGACACACTATACTTTAAGTGTGACCCTCGTACGGTACCCGGAAACGGCGAGCTTCCGGATCTGTAATTTATTCTACAAATAAACTAACTTTTGCAATATTCGAAGAAGAAATAAAAAAAGTTTTTTTGAACATTGAAGTATAAAGAGCATGTAAGGGGTGAATGCATACGTAATAAACAATTTGGCAAAGTTCTAAATTTAATTTTGATTCAGAAATAATTTGAGAAAGGATCGGGCAGTTAGTTAGTAAGTTCTCTAAATATTTGCTCTCAGATTTAAATATTTTCTTAATTGGATAATTAAATGTATCGTTAATAAAAATAATATTTAATGTTAATAAAAATAATAAATAAATTTTATGTTTTGCCTATAAGTTCTTGTTCAAAGCAGTTGTTAAAATAAAATGTTCAAAATTTCTACATTTACACAAAGTAAATAAATATAGTTCAAATAAAGTAAACGTATGCACTTATATGTATATGCATATGCCTTGACGCTTATATTATGAATATGGCATGTGTTACCTGATGCGTTGCATGTAATTATCAATAGGAAACACCCCCAAAAACTGATCCAAGACATGGCTGAATCACTCAAATAATAAACCACAAAGACTGAAAAATCAGTAAAAGGAAAATGTCCGGCTTTCTGCGTGCAGGTCAAATCACATTGAAGTGAAAGAACTTTCAGTAAACAAACTACAAAGCGCGCATTTCCAGAAACCCTCCGATACAGTTGGGACCGAAAATCTAGCTTCAAAGGGCTGCACTTGCATAACAATTTTATTTATACTTAATTGCTCTCAGAGTAAAAATATTTGATCAAAACTGAACAAATACAAATTTGGAAAGTAGAGCTTATTTGTACTATTGTTAAAAACCGTAAAAATAATCACAATTAATTTTATTCAGTAAATTATAAACATTTAAACCAGTGCACTACAATAAAGAAAAAAGGACTAATGTTTTTAAGATTTTAAATAGTTGCGTAGGATATGGACTTTAATTTTTTTTTAATTTCCAAAGTGATGTGGTAAAATTGAAAAATTATACTTATCATATCAAAATGTAAAGGTAATGTAAGGTAAATTTATTATCGCATAATTAGTAGCGTGTTAGTTTTAGCAGCAAAATTTTAGGTAGATATATATCTAATAACTAACTAATAAAAATCTGCCATCAATTCTAAGCATATTTAATCCAAAAAACAAGTTTTTCTTTCATGTTTTCAATTCATATCTGTCGCGTGTCCTTCGTGTTCGTTCCAGAAAATGACAAAAACCAACAAAATAAATGTGTTCTAACAACAAAATTAGACATCAATATTTGCAAACAGCTAAGATTTTCATCTCATCGAAACGCAAGCAAATAAAAAACAGATTAAAAAAATAAACAAAAACAGCTTGCGGCATAAACCATAAGCAAAAGTGGGTGATGTTTAATAAACTTTTTCAATAAAAGAAAAAAGAGCATAAAGGTGCAGCTGCCATCTTCGATAGAGTTTCAATTATTGAGACATCAGTTGTAAATGTAAAATGTATTTTTTAAAACTTGTATCTACCAGAGAAGAAAGTTCATTAAATACCATCTCAATTTTGCCGTCAGTTTATGCGCCGGTTTCTGTTTACCTGCGCCTCGATCAGTTCAAAATATAATCAACACTCTTTCTAAGCTTAATAATAGATGTTGAACTTCCAAAGTCTTGCCATCAAAGCACTTGAAAAGCTCGAAATATAAAAATGTAACCGACAGTTATATTTCCGTGTTAAAACTTGTTGGATTTCGTTCCAAAGAAGGCTAGAAAAAGTTTTGCAAATATTAAGTCACAATAAAAGATGACATTTTTGGGAACATTGGTATAACAGTTTGTAACGCCTAGGATATTCAGAAAAAGGTGAAAGACGAGCTTAAGACGTCTGAAAATTTTCATCCTGATCAGACATGTCTAATTAAATCGAATTTACTTAATCAGTAATTTTTGAACATAAGAACTGGCACTTCCTTTACTGTGCTACAGTAATTCACATTGTTCCTACGCACATCTTCGTCTACCAAGAGAGATACATTGGAACAGTTAATAGATCTGCTCATTTTTAATAATGCGAACAAAATAATGTAGCTTTCGGCATTTTATCTTGTACGCCAATTATTTATGTTTCACATTCGTGAACTATTTTATATTCATCCTTTTTTTCAGAAGACTCCAAAACACACAGCTTTTCAGGCGCATCTTGGCATTTAGAGTAAATCCGTATCTTTTGAAAGCTTCGCTAATTTTATTGAAGACATTTTCGGCGGTTCCGATTCGTATCTCAATTCCTACAATTTTTTAGTTACGTCTTATAGTCTCGTTAAGCATGATTTCCAAGTAATTGCATTGCGACACGGTTTATAAAGGTTTGCTTCACTTATCTTAAACCTGATTATTCTCATCATTTTGATCTTATTATTAATGGTGTCAAGCCAGCCTTTAATACCAATTTATGTGATTTTATCCATCAACTTCTCCTTCTTATAGAATCTCACAACGCTGCTGTAAATATGTGTTCGGACTGGAGGTTGGAAATATAAGAAATGCTGTTTGACATCAATAAGAATTATATATAATTATGAAGTATTTTTTATCAGTGATTTCTCACTTTCCTGTAAGACTTGCACGGTCTTTTCGAGTTTCATTCAGTCAAAGTGTTTTTGTACAAGTAACCTTGTGCAATGAACAATGTTTTTTCTGTAACTACTGTTTTGAAAAATCCAACAACCAACATTCCATTGGGTTCCATTTGGTCTTACAAATGCATTTTCTTCTGCAGGCAATATTTTTAAATGGCATCAGCATATGGCGCATCAAGTGAATAGTTTGACCTAAAACTATTTAAATTGAAGCTTAAACGTTTGGTCTCAAATTGAACTTGGACTCCTTGTCTTTCCTTCTTCAATCTCCCTTACAACGACCTTCACTTCTTGCTTAAATACATCTTAGCAACAATGTTTCACCTCGTTTTATTTTCCACCGTGGCTCCAAATATTGTTGTTTCTGAGAATAACATAATGAAATATTGAGCGATATCAACAGATATTACCAGCACCAACGCTATCATAATCATGAGGTGTACAAATTGCTGTGGATAATAATTTAAATTAAAATTATTTTCAATATTTTTGTATTAAGAAGCAAATACATTGTATTTTTCTAGTGAGTTGCGTAAACTTGAAAGCCGCATGGTCTCATATTTTTGCGAAGCATTTTTATAACAATGTTTTTCTTTATTTAGCTGCTTTACCACAAAATTTCTATAATTATTAGATGTCTATACCAACGTTCTATACTAATGTGTAATTTAAATAGCAGAAAATTATTTTTTGCTTAGAAGTAACTAAGAAACAATTTTGTTCATTTGGATGTAACATCTTCAAATATACCAAGAAAATGCTTCTAATATTTTTCATGAATCCGTCACCATCAATTTGTTTGATTCAGCGGTGCCAATCAGTCGCTTCTCAACTCTTTAACATTTCCAACCGATATTCCTTGCTAGATTTTTCGTTCCAACTATATATCCCCAATATGACATTCAGCAAGACATCGGCAGGATTTCTGGCGCCTTCTCGCTCCACTTTCAACCCCCACATTATAGGGATAGTCTAAGGGATGGGAGAGAAAGCCATTTAAACTCCTTATTAGAGCGAGAGTGATATTCAGTGACATAAATGTACAGAAATCGGGTTAACCGTTGTTGTGCAGTTCGAGGTTTTCCGTCTGCTTCCTTAGCGATGTGAAATACTATATTAGAGTTGCATTTCCAGGCTTAATAAATTAGCGCGTTTGTTTGGATTCGAGCAAATCTACTTTTATTTACATTACATTGGTTAAAGATATAAGATTGCTTAGTTTTATATGTATGTGCAAATAAATATCGTTTTTATTCGCCAGAACGGCTTATTTAACTGTTGCGGACGCTTTAATGCTTGGCTCGGTTATCAATTTAAGTTGGAATATATTCTTTAAATCTATGTTTGTTCAGGAGGTTAATGGAGAGCATATGGAGAGACATCGTTGCAGACCTGAGAGCTATTGGAATAGCATACAATACTGAATTGATGCAAGATAGAAAAAGGTGGAGAATGATCGTGTAGGCAGCCAAGACTCACCAAGGGTTGTAGGGCTGCAGAGAAGAAAAGAAAGGAGTTATGAAAGATTATGTATTTTACAAATTTTCAGTCAGTGTTCAGCCGTGTGTTTTTGTTGGAGAAATTCTCGGACCCGTAAATTTGTATTTTTAGTTGCAATTTCTATGATAAATTTATTTAATCAATGTGATCAAAAAATAAATTACGACCATGAATTTCATTTTGCCTCCAAGTCTCATTCCATTTCGACAACCTATTGTGGGGGAAAGAACAAATTAGTAAGCAATAAAATAACAAAGCAATATAATGAAATGAGAAACGCGTCAAAATAGCGAACTCAAGACTAAGAATAAATGGGTCTGATAAATGACAATAAATTAAAAATAAATGATAAATGAAATAATTGTCGGAAGCGCTCGGCCATGTACTGAATTATTTGTTGATTCACACTTCACTAGAAACGGCTTGCTTGATTACATTTTATCATAAATTACTTGCATGTAATTCCCCGATTCAATAAAAATTTATTGTAATCTTTCCTCACTGAAAATTACGTTTTCTGTGGTACTTTTTCAAAACCAATAATCCCATTTATATTGCACCACATAATAAAACTTTAAATCACTCAGAACTAGATGATTATTACTGACTCATATAACAAAATCATCTAATTAATTTTATTTATAGCTGGAATTATATCGCAACTATTAGTTTTTGACTAAAATGCATAAAATACTTGAAGGCTTTTGCGATAAAATCGCTCAAATAAATTAGTCGATGCCAAATTTAAAAGTGGATAACCCTTGCTATTGTTCCTTTCTAAGTGTATGAATTGCAAAAAAATAAATGCAACGTACAAAACAATTTGAAATGGGGCATGTAAAGGGACCATCGACTAGGGATGGGACATCGATCGTATAACATCGATTGTAGCCATCGATGTTGACATCGAAATAATATCGATGTTCTGATTTGAACCGTTTTCCGTTGCATACAAATTTCAAATTGATTAACCTCAACTTAGGTAATTTTATTTTACTACTACTATGACATTTTAAAACAAGGCATTACTAAATAATCGATTAAATTTATTCAACTTCTTGTTGCCACAATTTTCGGTCAACTGACTGAAAAAAGAAGCTTTTTTTAGGTGCAGCTGGAAATGGGCCGCTATGCCGCGGTATCGTTTGTATCGGCACTATCAAAGAGTTCGCAGATAAAGTTTCTATCTAGTATCATCATCAAATGTTCGATGTTTTCACTTCAGGATCTAACATCGATGTTTTATCGATGTCCCAAATTTCTATCATCGATGATAAAAATATCGAACATCGAACGAATTATATCGATGTTTGCGAAGCATTTTGTAGAAATTGCAGAATTCTAAAAACAAGTAAAAACAGTCAACAACATGTTCCCAGTCACGGAACTGCGTTTCTGCGCCGGTGCGTTGGGTTGGCTCACCAAGCCATTTTCGTAGCACTGCGCCAACTCCTTAAATTCACTGAGTCAGCTAGGCCTACAGGTAATCCGATCTTTTTCATTTAGAATGGGAAAAGCTGTAACATAACTGAACACACGTTAACAGAACCCGCATAAGCAACAGTTTGCGTGTTTAATATTTAAGTACCTGCTAAAAATTGTCCTAAAAGTCTGTTTATTGATTCAACTGTGTCGTAGTAAAAGTTTGGTTGAAAAACTATTGTTTTAAAATTATTCATTCACAAATTCGAATAAATGTAAAATTCCTTCAATACTTCAGATTGTTCAGCTGTGAAAATACCTGATTAGAAATCGTATTCGGTATATCATATCTGCTGCATTAGCGCAGACTAGTAGAGCAGAAACCAATAGCGCTTCGCTAATTTTCCATAAAACAAACAGTTTTTGTTTGCAAGCGGCTAATGCTGATTTGCCATATTAATGGATAATAACATCAGACAAAAATAATTTTTCCTCATTACATTGTGCAAATTTGCTACGGTTTAGTGCGTTACACATAGATGAGGTGATAAGATAAAGCAAATCGAATCCAAATATTTTGTATCTTTAATCGTTGGAAAATTAAGTCTGCAATTTTATAATTTCCTGTTTAATGTCTAAGCAATTTGTTCATAGTATGTATATGCAATTTGTTCGGCTCATAATGTGTCTCAGCCATATGTCAAAAAATTAGTAAAGGGAACACGCCGAAAATTAATTTCAGTTCTTTCTGAGGACGATAAAAACGTGTAAGGGCAAGCACACTAGCAAGTCAATTAATTGAATTTATTTAGAATATTTGTCCAATTCGGTGCTGTTTTGAGCACGCTACCTGATTTAGTTCGAGTTTTAACGGTCATTAAAAGATGAATTCGTCAATTTCGACGAGACAAACGCGTGTTTTGAGGACCCCGAGAAATTATATTATTTGGAAGGCATAAAAAAATTGAAAAGACGCTGGACTAAGCGTATCGAGTTAAAAGGAGATTATGTTGAAAACACGTGTTTTGACAGGAAAAAAAATTGTTTCATTCAAAAAGTCACTGACTTATCAAACGACCCTCGTATAACGAGGATATTGTATTTAACTTAATTAAAAAGGGGAAATCATCAGAAAAATATACATAATGAATTGTATATAACATCAATTTGCTACTGGATATTTTTGGGTATCTCTTAACATGAGAGCGAAACGAAATCGAGAGGCAGTAACTTGTGAAAGAGCTAAATATTTCATACGTTTAATAAATATCTGCTAATTTTCTGCTACTGTGTAAAGGAGACTAAATGGAACTTAATTTAATGATAAAACCTATTTAACTATAGTTTTAATATAGCCGTTTAGTTAAACCCTCAAAAGTTTAAATTTTATGCCTTGGAAATGTTTGAAAATCTTATTCAATTTAGCATGTGATGAATCATTGGCAAGTTGTTTATAGCTTTGCCAACATTGTTCAATTCTACAACATTTTCCGCATCTTTTCATTGATCATAGATGTATAGTGGTTTGTATTACCAGTGGTACAATAAGAACGACAATGTTCAATGTATCTGAACTACTTGAGGTGTTTTGATTCTCTGAAATGTTAATTGCGAATTTATCATGGTGTATTTTAAAATCTTGTCTATCGAATAAAAAATCGATTTGAGGCCACGAAACCGTCCTTCGTTAAAGATAGTGCGTCTGGATCATATCCAGAATTTCATTTATTACCCATGTATTTTCGTTTGTGTGATCACTAACAGTGCAGATCAATTTCGGATATTGGTTTATTACGTGATTTAATCTGTATATCTGATAAAAGCTATATTTTGTTCTGATTTAGAATTCGTTTATTATTGTGAGAATAAAGCTATTTCGCAAATTTTTAAATTTAGCTTTATTTTTATAAATTTTATTCTCATTTTTTATACTTTTTTTATTTTTTTATACTTTAATGCGTCAAGCTTTCTAATATTTCTGGCTCATTGTTGACACGTAAAAACACATAGTACGGCAGTCTGCAAGTCTAAAAGGGACGAAAATAATAATAAAAGGGATTTTACGCGCCTTTAGCGGACAAACAATTTTTGAAATAAGAAAAATTTACTGCTTTCGGCAGGACTTGAACCTGCGACCTTCATGACTCCGTCGTAATTCTCTACCAATTAGTTGGAAGAGCTGAAGTGCTTTGGTTTTTAAGAAACTTTTCTAAAAACATTCGCTAAAGCCGCGAAAAATGCCTTTTATTTAGAATTTTGGGACGCTAAAAAAAATAATGTTCCCTGTTCACTTGAACTGGCCAGAAACCGTTCGAAAAGCTATCTACGACGTGGAAGAGACATTTGATACAAAGACACGTACATTTACGAATATAAATTAATAAATGGATATTCTTGCAAATCGTCACTTCGAATGCTGTAGTAAATCAATTACACTTTTTGCAAAATTATAAAATAATTAATATACCGTAATCACAGGATGTGAGCAACATATTCTCAACCAACATTGTGATAGGTGGGTGATAATGCATTACAATCATTTGGTTCATCGTAAACGCATTTATCTGGGACAGATAAATACCAGATTAGTATAATTAAAAATATTGTATAAGTATAGGCATCGGGGGTAGTAAAACTCAGTTTTTGATCAGCTTCTTTGTGGTGCTAAGAAAAATTAAAAACATACTTATAATGCAAGATACCAGTGCACTTGTAGTGTTGATTGTGTTCCTCGTTGACCAAAGTAAGAATTCAATTCAGTTCCTAAGCAAATTTAAAATGTTTAACTATAGATAAAATAATTTAGTCCAAAAACTTTGCCAAACAAAGGCAAATATTTCCTAGGAATCAGACTTGGAGTAAGAATTTAGTACAAAAGTAACTATTTATAATAATCTTTTTCAATGAAGTAAGAATAATTCATAAGTAATAGTCATAAGCCAATAGGTCATAATTTGTGATTTTTGATTGGTAATTATCTGGTTTGGTGCTGCCGCAGTTGGTTATTTCTATTTCAGAATGCCTTATAAAAGTAATTTGAATTTTATAGAAGTAACATGATAGATAGATATAAAATATGTTGCACGGAACATCAATCTGTACTAAATCAAGGGTGTCAATCTGAAAAACTCCCACCCTTAATATCTTTCCTGCAGTTAAAAATATAAAAAAGAGAACAATTTAAATGAGTATTTTTAGCTTTCTTGTGTCAACCCCCTAGGAGGGGTTGATGTCACCCTTAGCATCTTAAATGGGAATGGGGGTAAAGTAGCACATCGGTTTGAAAGACATTCAATTCTCTTTTGAGTGTTTGTGTCTCTCCTATTTTGTTGCTTTTAGTCCAGGGGTTTCCGAATAATCGCGTTTCAAAGTTGCAGAAACAATAAAACTTGCATGCATTGAGATTTTGGTTTTCAGGTTACTGTTGTTGTTGTACACAAAAAGAAATATTGCATAAAATAGTACAAATAATTAGAAGAGGATTCAACTTGTTGAATAAGAGAAAGAAAATCCAGCTTAAACAATTGATTTAATATTTATTGATTATTTCAATTCGAGAAAAATTTTCGAACTTTTTCTTTGCGAAAGAGAATTTCTAAATTATTTTTAAATTTCTACAATAGTTCAGTCCACTCTTGCAATTAAAAGTATAAATACCTCCTGTCCATCTTGAAAAATTTTCCGCCGATTTTTACCCAAGCGGGAAATAAAGCTGGCGCCGCCACTAATTCTCCGGAATAGAACTGCTTGATGGCAGTGAAAAGTACTGGTATTCCGAAAAAATATCAATAATATTTTAATTTCGTGTTTTCAACAACCGAAAATATAACGTTTAAAAATGAATTTAAATTTAAATAATAACAATAATAATAATGTAACATCTGAATGCAGCTGCTTATGCTAATACTAAGTTCTTTCCTTACTGCTGAAGGATGACCCTTTTGTGAAGTAGATATTTCTATTAAGAACAGCATTATTTGATGTCAGTGGTTTTCTTAGGATCTGAGAATCCAAAATTGTAATTTTAATTTCATAAAAAACCGCGGATTGCCGATTCGCGATTATAAAAATGCGTGTTGTACGGTATTTTTTACAGTACTTACAAGGCTTTTAGTAACATTTGCATTTTGTTAGCGAATCACTTTTCGGGTATAGTCGATGAAGCAATCTTATACTCTTTTTTGATTCTCATTCGAACTCTGTCGTTTTTATCCTAGTAACGGGACCACTCTGTATATAAAACGCTTCATGAAGCTTAAGAAACAGTAGCATATTTCATGACGGTATAATTTATAGGGTATTTTCTTAATTAAAAATTTTCACAAGCTTCGAATCACTTCCTATTTAATTGAGAAATTGCTAATTTGTCCAATAATCAAAAAGCATAAAATCTGGGTCAAATCTATTAGACTGTACGATGTTATGAATTATTTAAAACAATTTCTGATAGCATCGGTGGTTCAATTATTTTATTTGCAACTTTACACATATTTACAAGCAGAGATAAAACAATACTGAATATATAAGGTAAAAAATATATACAAAAGAGGGTGTTCGCCCCAGTGCCGAAACTGTATCCCCGATGGGTGGTACACTTTTTGCCTTTTTTATTAAATCTGCAAATAAGTTCGCAATTGAAAAGATCGCACTATTTGATTGATGAAAATAATAATTTTTAATTATTCTGATTTATTTTCCTGGCTGCGTGTATTTGTTAATATTTTTTTACTCAGACTAATTTAAGGTTTCAAGAAGGCAAAGACCTAAAAGAACGTTAATATGATGAGTTTGTGTAAATTTTAAATCTGATGATGACGCTGTTGTCTCGCCGAAATGGAATGAAATAAACGATATTCAAAATTTTTACTTTACACTTTGACTTCTTCACACTTGATACTTTTTCTTTTCTTCTTCTTCAAAACTTATTATAATGCGATTTATTTTACAGAGTTATTTTAATTTCCAGGTACAGCCCAAAGCTGTAGAACATGTAGAGGGACATTATGCTCAACTGAAAAAGAATTAAATCTAGAATGTTCGCAATTCTTGCCCGCTCTGCCATTTGAAAGCCAATTGCTGTTCAGTGCAGTAGATGAAAATGCCGAATATGGTTGTCTAGATGTGGAATTTTATGTGGGTAAGGATAGACAGCTTAGGGAGAGAAAATCCGCAAACATATTTATCAATTTAGATGAGTCAATTACGAGCATACAACAATGTATCATATCAAATGACCTGAAATCATACTGCAGTATGGTTGAGGAGGTCATGAAAGTCAAATCATGCAGTGTTAGCCAACCTGATCTAGTAAGAATTGAAAGAGAAATAAATGATGAACCTACCGATAAGGATGATACTGAAACTGACACTGACGATCCAGTTTACGAAGACACCACGGTATTACCATCAAGTGGCGTCGTTCATTTAGTTACAATATTTTCCTTTATTGTTTTGATACCAATTTTGTTATAAAAATATGTAATATTTTCATTTCTGACTGTATTCAAATGCATTGTTCTAATAATAATTTTAATAATCAAAATTCATTGATTTGAACTGATGAATTTGAACTCTACAACTACTTTGCTTCTGTCTGTACACATTTAGTATTGAATTAACATTGAGACGATTTATTTATGTGGGTGCTCAGATATTTATTTGTTTGTAAAATATACTGTGATATGATTATGATTATACGTTCTATACTTTTAATACAAAGTATTACTCAATTTCAGTTTTTCTTGATGGTGAAAAATTGCGCGTTAAATCAAAAACTGAAAATGTGATTAGAATAAAAATATCAAAATTATGCCAAAAATATATTATTGCAATAAGGATGCCTTTCTCTTATCCTTATACATATATGTGTTTTTCTTCTGTATATGCACTAATGTTCTTTTAGCTTTTTATAATGTAATGTAAATTAAAATCGTCGTATATGGCCTGAAGATGTTCATTTACAGGATTTCCATATAGTAGTTCCATAAGCCATATTTCCTTAGCTTTTTTTAAAAAAATGCGAAGCATACGGTATATCCTTATGTACTCATTATGATTGTTATTCTTGTGTTTGCATCTTTCTTCCATGATATTTAATATAGTTTGTGTCAGCCATTCCTTTTTCCCTTTCTTTCCTTTGGGTTTTAGTTCCCATTGCTGTGTTATCTGATTTCTTAACGAGACTTTAACATCTCGCCAACCTTCTTTCACGCTTTTATTTTTACTGGATAGTAGAGAGATTATGTATACCATGTATTTCCTTTGTTGCTCCTTTTATAGTTTCGGGTTCCTTTAATGTGCTGTTATATTTGTGAGGTCTTGGGTGGTTGTTTCCTCTTTTTAAGTCTTATATTTATGGAGTAACGAAAATAATTTTGCAATAAGACATTGTTGGGGAATCCCAATATCCATCATCATCAAGACCCTTAATACGGAGCCACAGCTKAATAGTTTGCAAGATTATTTATTAAAAGAAGACGTACGTGTGGATGACTAATARTAAGCAAGACTTGAGAGGGATGGCGCTTCTGCTCATTARGGCAGAAGAGCTCGAAACTACTTTTTATTCACTTGGCCCCATAGTATTAATGTCGAAGCCATAGAGTAAGTAAAATAATTATTTTATTATTTTTMCTTTCTCTATGGTCGAAGCCACGCATTTTGAACACAACCTATTTTAGTTTAAACGGTTAATGAAAGACTACATCCAAGTAACAACTAATGTTTGCCAGTCRTTTGCCAAATAATTCTGCAATTCAAATTCAGCTTAGAAACACTTTTTGGAGCAGTGTATAGGACATTTTCGATTTTTTGTWACTTAGAATCTYCACTTTTGGRCCATAGTCTATATGTTTTTGAATGCATGTGGATATGCACTTATGGTCACCAAAACTTGCGCYACTCTGTATATTACTAACTAATTTGRTAATAAGMCGRTTAATTTCGGTAATAAAAAAGGTTTGGATAATACAATATTTGCAGAAAATTAGTTACTTAAATGCATCACGCCAAAGCAAAATTATCAATAACGAACAAGCCTACTAATCAATCAATTATTCTAGTGTACTTGATGACAATATATCGGCTTTTAGATAAGTATTTAATAATTTGATATCTCTTTATTGCGTAGAATAATCTAATATACCGAAAGCTTTATATTAAGGGAGACCGTGTTGAGCGGTAAAAAAACCGTTTTTACAAAAAAAGTTAAGATCACAGATGACTGATCAGGAATTGCTTGTTGTTAGCAAAAACATGAACATTGTTCTTCAAAATCAAGTGCCGGAAGCTTTATAAAAGAGTAGAATCAATCTAGATCACGCTGCAGAACATCCAAATGAGTATACAACAATATAGCTTTATTCATTACAATCATGGATTGATGTTGATCGAAAAAAGGGAAAACATTTTTGCTAACTTAACCGGAAAGCTTTACATAGGGATGTTATCGTGGCAGATTAAATCCAACATTTTGACACGAACTAGAATCTATTATCTATTATGTTATCTAAAGCCTAAAGTAGGAAATCTTAAGTAATTTAATATTGAAATATGTATCTTCAATAGCGTTGGGTAACTTAATTAATGGATCTTAGAATTGGTTTGAATACTGAAATAAAGCGGCTACTGGAAGAAATAATCTCTTTTCAAATCTACATCATGGTGTTAAATAAAGCTTATGATTAGTTTAGCTTTGATACCATGCTGCACCTTTGCAGTTATTGATAGCTAAAAATCCACCCGATTTAATAGAGATTTTATTTCGCTATTATCTTTTGATTGCATCAATGTTGAAAATACATAAGTGTATAACAAAGTCAACTGCTGATGCTCGTAGTCCTTAAGGAGTGTTTAAGATGGGAGCGAGCATGATACTTTTCTTGTTTATGATGCTTTTAGTACAACAGTGTACGTTTTTAGTTATTTGTTTAGTGTTCGTATATTTTTGAGTGGATTTTATTTTATTTTCCAGGTTTCGCAGTTAGTTGCAGGACATGCGAAGGTCAAGAATGTTTGAAGAAAGATGTCGACTATAGAATGTGCACTAAATTGTCTTCGATTGTTCCTCCAGAAGCTTATTTGATGTTACCTCAAATCAAAGAAAATGTCCAATACGGATGCTTAAAATTGGAATATCCATATGGTAATTTACTATTATTTATTAATATTATGTGATTATTAGTTGCGTTAATATACAATAAAGTTGTTGGCAATAAAACTGAGAGAACCGACAAGAGTATATAAATTTTTGAAAGTATCACGTTACAAAGAACCAATTTTTTTCATTTGATTATAGAGAATTAATTTTTACCCAAACTTGACTTAAAAAAAACAAATGGGCCCCAATAAAGCATCAAACAGAAACCAAATCGCTCTAAGCACAATTTTCTAGTTCGTGTTTTATGATGAGGGCATACCAAGAGCTAAAAAATGTCCCTGTTGAACTTTAACTGAAATGTATATGACTATTAAGTAGCATTATTTGTACGGTTTGCTTTGCAACAACTTGATGCCCAATTGCCCAGTTCTTATAAGTGATTACATCTTACTTTTAGGAGAAGCAGGATCGTTATTTCTGGTCGAGAAATGTATTATCATGCAGGACATACATTCGGTTTGCCAAAATATAGCTAAACGTATTCCTTATGCTTCTTGTTTTGTTCAATTGGCAAGCGATGCCGACGTAATTTCACAAAACAATTATGCCAATCAACATGAAACTCAGGGACTAGTCGCCAATGAAATATTTGGGTCTCGTATAAGTTTGTCAACGGAAGAAACCGAAGAACAATTCAGAGCTTCCGAAACTCAAAATTTTGAACCAGATATGAATAGTAGTACAGATGAAGATTCAGCACCATTGGGCCTAACCCTTTCAAGTGATTCTTTTAATGCACATCGGAATGATGATGAGGAAGATGTCGCGCGAGAGAGTCATGATCTTGATAATGTATCAACTCTGATGACAATAACTAACGTGCCACTAGAAGAGTCTGAAAGAGAATTAAATAGCTTTGAGACAAAAGAATCCTACGCGGCAACAGATGGTTATAGTTCCCAAAAAGAATCTTCGACCGGAGGCGATATTACAACCGTCAAATCATCAATTGTTTCAGCAGATGAACTTGCTACCACTCTGGATATTTTTAGTAATGACTTTGATAAACAATCAATGTCTAGTTCGATTACCAACTTGCCAGCAGATAATGCTGAAATTGAATCATCAGCTGAGGATGTAATTTTAAACGTTCAACCTTCGGACGAATCATTGAATAACAACTACGGCAACGAGCTTTCCACACAAGAAAATTACGAAGTTACTCAACCAGAGCACGATAATCTGGACAACCAATCGACTGTAATGGCGATAACAACGTTGCAAGCGGAAAAAGAATCAAATACCTTTTGGAATGGAGGATCTGATGAAGCTACGGATAACTTCAGAGCTGAAACTGAAACATCGACTGAAGTCAATATTTTAACATCTGAATCGTCTGATGAATCAACCAATCGTTACCATGATGCGCATAGTACCGATATTGGGAAACAATCAACTTTAGTGACGGTTATAAATTCTCCAACAGATAAAACTGCAGCAGAATTAAATAATCTTGAAACTGATAATGAAGATGCATCTACCGATAGTTATATATCTGAATTAGAATCATCAACTCGTAGTGCTATTTTAACCGATCAACCGTCAGACGAATCAATGGATATTAATGAAAATTTTTACGATGAGCTTACGACACAAGAACTGATTGGTACAGGCGACGAAAGTAATACCATTCATACGGTACCTACTTTGACTCAAATTACAAGTTTTCCAATGCAAACGGAAAAAGAACCATTATACTTCAATACTGAGACATCTGACAGTCCTAAAACTGAATCATCAACTTCTATAGCGGATATAGAATCAATTACATATGACCATCAAGTAACCGATAATCAGTATAATGACCTTAATACGAATACTGAACGTAGTTTGGAAACTATAACCGATACTTATGCTAGCAAAACCTTCTCATCTACTGTTATTATGGAGACAACATCATCAATACAAACAACAGTGAGCAGTAGTTCAACTATTGGTGGAACATCAGAGCAAGAAATAATTGATCATGGCGTGCATCAAAATGGTAGTACCGAAGGCAATCCTGATTTTGTTTTATCCACTGATGATGCTAATTCATCTATCAAAACATCGCAATCGCCTACCGGAACGTCTACGCCCCACGAGAGTGAGTTATACACGAATCCCACTGATAATATCGCGGTCGAAGATGGCAATGCTACAAAAGTTTTATCAACATCAACATCAACTGTGGACTCTATCGGTACCACGAAAGAAAACAAAAATTGCAACGAAGATGCACCTGGACCTTGTTTTACAGGTAAAAAATTTGATTCAACAAAATACACCAATATAATGTTTGTTGCTATTTTCATAGACGCAACATCGACTAGGCTACCTTCAGAGTCAGATTCCACTAATTCAACTACAGATAGATCAACTGGCAAGGATGATGACCAAGTAACCACGTCGGAGACTGCAGAACTAACAGAAACACCGACTATGTTTGAGTCTCAAAATGCCTCAAATCAGTGTTTTCTATATTCACCTATCCTTTGCTCGATTTTATTTATTATCAATAAAATTATTAACTGAAACCAAAGGTTTCATGTGCTTTACAATGTTAGGGTGTTTCTGTTATATGGACAATAAAATGATTCGTTAAGCTGGTGTGATGGAAGTTTCAATTAACATTTTTACCATCATCAAGTCATTCTTTGAAGTCAGACATACAACAATTATCTTTGCAATCGGCATGTACAACTAACGTTCTTCTCATTGAAAATGCTTCAATAACTGTTACTCTATGCGCCAATCAACAAAGAATACCAATGAAACTAAATGGCAAATAAAAGTCATCCCTTTAGTCATGGTCAACTTTTAAAAGTTGCCATTAATGAATGGAGAAGAAGTCAATATTTCAAAAGTTGGCTTTCAATTAAGTTCGCAACGCTGTGAAAGAAATACTCAAGTTCAATGAGTTTTACATAGTTTTAATCAGAGGGCTGCTCATTTTTTTTCGCCTCATAACCGCTCTCTTCAATTTCATTGTCTATTAGGATTAATGCTAAAAATGCGCGCATATATAGATATTAAAAAGGAACGTTTTCTGTCGAAAATATGAGAATTAAGTTTCATCTAACAGTAAGTGTTGCTTTTCCTCAACTGTTGCACGATGCGGAGCTCTTCCAAAGCTGAGAGGGCGTGAAAAATCAGTGCGAAGCTGTTAAATGGTTTATCTTGGTGTGTTATTGTTTGTTTCTAGCAAACACAAAACGGCCAACGTTACTCATGATGTACGGCACTCAGTATTATTTCAACAGCCATTAGGCTGTAGCCCTGGGCCTCACATTGAAAGGGCCCTGAGAACTCGAATTAAAAAAAATATGTAGGTTACAATCGATATTTTTAGGAACTTTTGCAGGTCTCATTTTGTTGTGGATTTCATAATCGCTTTAATCGCGTTAACGATTCAGAATTGATTCGGAACTGACCGCATGTGCGTAGAGCCATTGGGTGCTTGCGGTAAAAAATTACTAGTTCTGAACCGAAAGTTTTATGTTCGCAGCACAGTACATCAACTGGTTCAGAACCCGTTCGCTACCGGTTCTAGCAGGAAGGACCAGTGAGAAGCGCAGAACAAACAAAATGTAAAGTTCACATCGACATCGGGACTAGTTTCCGGCATCTTATTTTTTTTTGATTTGGTATGAGAAACTGGACACTTTTGTTTGCGGGCACCTTTTCGACGGCTGGTTATACAATGGGTGCCACCAGCAATGAATTCCTTTTTCTAATTCAAATTTATGGCTTCGTTTCCTTCATCCCGAGGTGAAAAATTGCTAACATGCACATGTAGACAATTTTAAGTTTATTTTTACATTGGCGTTCTAATAAAAATTAGTTAATTAAATGCGATATAAACATAAAAAACGTAATAGTTCTTAAACTTAATAGTGATCTACAAATTATTATACAATAAAAAAAATTTTCTCTGGCAAAGTCACTTATCAAATCATCAAAATCAATCGATCGAAGTAAATCACTTTCAATGCTTGACCTTAAGCTAACCAATGGAGCGATAGTTGAAAATAAAAAATAGTACTTAGTTTTAGACGAAAGTTTAGTTTTAGTTTTTTAAAAGACGACGGCGTTTTGACTTTGTCAGGTCAGGGGCGGATCCAGCTTTAAATTCAGGGGGGGGGGGTATGTAGAAAAAATACAGTCTTCTGTTGTCTATGAAGTTAGAAAATTATCGTCGTTTTGTGCAAGGGTGGCGTAAGATTATTGCAAAATTTCATGTATTCCGTCCCGTTTTTGCTCATTTCAGGGAGGCAAAATGAGCAAGAACGCTCATTTGTACATCATTCTAGGCAGAAATAAATGGCCTTTTTAGAAAGTGAACCATCGATAAGGAAATGTTGCAGTTTTCTCAAAAAATGCTTAAATTGAAGAAGTTTTAGATTTGAGTGGTTTTTCTTTGAGTTGCAAAATCCACTTGAACATAACGCTGCTTTTTTCGAGGTTTCCCAAGAACCATTTGAGCCACATAATTCGGTTTGGCATCGTTGGATAGAGAATTGAAAAGTCGATTCAGTCGTAACAACATGAGTGAGTAAATTCGAGTAGTTTTGACCCAGAAAGCGAAATTTTAATATCAGACACTTCGGTGCAGGATTATGCCAAAATTGCATGTTTTCCGTCCGGTTTTTGCTCATTTCTCGGAGGCAAAATGAGCAAAAACGCTCATTTGTACATCATTCTAGAGAGAAATAAATGACCTTTTTAGAAAGTGAACCATGGATGG